GGTTCATAATAACAAAGAGGTGCTACTTCGTGATGTGGACCAAAACATTATTATTGTTATTACTTTATTATTATGTTAAAGATGTTTTAGTGTATCTAGGAATGTTTATTTATTTTTTTATGCACAGAAAAGTACATTATATGCTTTCTGCTCAAACTATTGACTAATCTATGGTAGATAAGAACTGTTATTCCAAATTACATACAATTATTATTCCAAATTACATACAAATTTAACTTGAAAACAGAATCAAGCATGGAACTTGTTCATAACCTGGGACTGGTTGACAGAATCTCCAAATCATATAACGTCCTTTTTCACAGAATGTAACTTGGACATTAAGCAATGTATGACTGTATTTGCAAAAAAAGGCAAGCTTTAATAACTTGTTTTTGTTGTTGTTATGTGCTGTTGAGTCAGACCCAACTCATAGTGACTGCTCCTTGGGTTTCCAAGGTGGTATCACTACAGAAGTAGATTGCCCAACTCTACTTCTGAGGAGTGGCTGGTGGCTTTGAACCTCTGCCAAGCTTCTGGTTAGCAGTCAAGTGCCTTAGGCACTACACTTAAAAATGAAAGAGTGACAATAAATAAACTGACTCAAAAAAGTAGACAGAGAATAAGATATATTGAAGGAAAGTAGAAAAAAAAAAAGAGTGAACATATATGAGTAAATCACTAACATATTAAATTGGGTGAAAGGAAAGGCAATTTACAATAAAAAGGGGTGTCAGCACAAAATGATCAAAGCAAAAAGAGGGACTGGGAGGAGTGCAAAAGTTAAAGGCAACAAAAATAAATACTATTATATACACAATCCTGCCATAACATAGTAACAATAATCTACTAGTGGACACATAGATAGACAGACAAGCTGAACACATGTGGGAAAGCAAATGAATTATAGCCACATATATATGTTTTACAGAGGATATTTCTACATATGTATCTATATCTGCTGCAAATATATCCATGAATATAGTAGACTATACAAGGGGCAAAGTTATGAAAATTTTTAGCCATAACCAAACACCTTGAGGGAAACAGTCTCTGGGCATGGGCGCTGCAAAAAGGGCAAGGAGGCCACATCTTCCCATCTCCTCTAACCAACCCTACAAGAGGAAGATAGGATTACCAGCAGTAACCCAAGGCCTATTCCTGCAAGGCCAGACATGCTGCCTCCCTCCAGCCATTTCTCCAACCGTTCTTCCCAAAGCACCCACCACCTCTCTCCTTGGTTTGATAATTCACTGCAGTGGACACACAGAGCTCACAGATTACGGGGTTTATTAGGGAAGCACCACAGGCTACAATTCAAGTTCAGGAAAAATGCTCAGTCTCCCTCCCAGCCCACCGTCCCTCACCCAACAGTCTCTCACAATCTCTTTCCCAGAAGTGCTGGTCCCTCAGTGTCTCACTCAGCAATGCACGTTTCTTGCGTCTCTTTCCCAGCAATGTGTGTCTCAGGAGCGCATGTCTCTTTCAGCAGCACGTCTTCTTCAACCAGCAGTCAGAGAGAGTTCTGCCTCTAGGAGGCCTCCTTTTGAGCCTGGCAGAGTGGCCAAACTAGCCAATCATAGCATCAGAACTCTAAGCAACTGAGAGAGAGTGAGAACCTGCCAGAACATTGTTCTGTGCCACTCCCAACAGAAATACTCCAGGTGGGCGACGTTAGCAATCAGGATCTCCTCAGTTGCTAATAGCAATTCCCACCTTGGAGCTTACAAAGACTTATGGGTAGAAAAGCCACACTAAGTAATTTACTACACCGCAGGCGCTCAGGACCACAGTCTTGGGGGACACTAAGGTCAACTGGTATACTATACTCCACAAAGACAATGTTCTACATCCTACTTTGGTTAGTAGCAACTGGGGTCTTAAAAGCTTGTGAGTGGCTATCTAAGGTGCAACTATTGGTCTCTCCCTGTCTGGAGCAAAGAAGAGTGAAGAAAATCAAAGATGCAAGGAAACAATTAGTCCAAAGAACTAATGGACTACATAACATTCCAGCCTCCATCACCCTGAGACTAGAAGCACTACATAGTGCCTGGCTACCACTGTTAACCACTCTGAAAGGGATCACTATAGTAGGTCCTAGATAGAGTGGGAGAAAAATGTGGAACAAAACTCAAAATCATAAGAAAACACCAGGCTGATGGATACTGAACCCCCAAGAGTATGGCCCTTAGACACCTTTCAGGCCTGGAACTGAGCTCATCCTTGTGGCTCAACTTTCAGCCAAAGATAGACAGGCCTATAAGTGAACAATAACACCAGGGAGGAACGCACTCATTAGAATAGTCAACCATCTGAGACCAAAAAGATGGCATTTGCCCAGGGATAAAGCTAAGAGGGCAGGAAGGGGCAGGAAAGAAGAATGAAGGGAAATGGTAAACACAGGGAGGAAGTGGGAAGAGTTATATCGTGGGGATTGTGATGAATGTCACAAAACAAAAGGTGCATGAATTGTTGAATGGAAAACCAGTTTGTTCTGTAAACTTTCAACCAAATCACAATATTTCTTTATTGTTATAAAAATCATATTCTTTATTTATCTTTAGAGAAAGAAATACTGAGCTTGTGAGAAGCCATCTAAGGTGCAACTATTGGTTTCTCCCCTCCAGAGCAAAGAAGAGTGAAGAAAATCAAAGAGGCAAAGAAACAAAGGACTAAGTGACCACACAAACCCCAGTGTCTACAACCCTGAGACCAGAAGAAATAGATGGTGTCTAGCTACCATTACTAACTATTCTCCGAAAGGGATCACAATAGGAGATCCTGGACAGAAAGGGAGAAAAATGTAGAACAAAACTTATAATCATTAAAAAAAAAAAAAGACTAGGCTTACTGGTCTGATAAGGACCAGTAGAACCCCCAAGACTGGTTCCTTAGTCACCCTTCAAGCCTGGAACTGAACTCATCCCTGAGGCTCAACTCTCAGCCAAGCAACAGACAGACCTACAAAGTGGACAGTAACACAGGGAGATTCACTCCTTAGAACAATCAACAATACAAATTCAAAAGGACAGCATTTGCCCAGGGATAAAGCTCAGAAGGCAGAAATGGATGAAAAAGAAGGACAAATGGAACCAGAAAATATAAAGAGGAAGTGGGAAGAGTGCTATTACATAGTGGGGACTGCAATCAATGTCACAAAAGAAAATGTGTATGAATTGTTGAATTGAAAAACAATTTATAAACTTTCGCTTGAAGCACCATAAAAAGTTATTTTAAAAAATGGCAACAATTACAAAGTTAAGAATTTACATCATGTGACTGTACTACCAATTCAAATAAAATAAATTTTAAAAATAGAAAATATCATTAATAATCCAACACTTTTATTTCAAACATTATGAATTGAGGTCCAAATAGGTTAAGGAGTCATATAAAAGCAGAATTAAAACCCAGGCTTCTTTATTCTCATTAATCAAAAACCATGACTCACTGCCATCGAGTCAATTCTGACTCACAGTGACCCCCACTGGGTTTTCCAGGCTGTAAATCTTTACAGAAGTAGATTGTCCCATCTTCCTTCCGCAGAGTAGCTGGTGGGTTAACTGCTGACCTTATGGTTAGCAGCCAAATGTCTTACCCACTACATAGTGCCTAAGGCACTTGACTGCTAACCAGAAGGCTGGGGGTTCAAATCCACCAGCCACTCCTCGGAAGGAAGGTTGGGCAATCTACTTCCATAGTGATACTGCCTCGGCAACCCAAGGAGGGGTCACTATGAGTCGGGGCCGACTCGACGGCACAAAACAACAACAACAACCATTAGGTTCACATAAGACCAGATTAAATGCAGGTCTTCTAACTCTCAGGTCAGGGTTCATGTGATATTTAGAAAAGGCAGAAATTGAGATAATCACATTATAAAGGAGGGTCTCAAAGAAAGTCTAAGATTTAGCTAAGTAAGGGAAAAGAAAGGATACCATGCTGGAAAGTTAGCAACAATGGATGGCACTGGGGAAGTCCAAAAGAATGTTCATTGGACAAAAGTTGAAAAGTTGATGATAATGAGTAGAATAAATGTATAAAAGTGCTAACATTTAACTAATAATGATAAACATTCCCGTGAAAGAGAATAATACTTTAAAAAAAAAAAAAAAAACAGAAGAGCAGATGAACAATTAGTCTATTGAGATATAAGCACTGTATCTTGAAACTATACACATAACAAAGAAGGCATTTCGCATCAAAAAGAAAATGTTAAGGAAAACTCACGTTACCTGGGAAAATTGCCTGTGGTGAAAGTAGATATTTCCTGCATTAAAGTAAGCCAGTGAGTACTTGGGGTTTAGAGAAATTGCTGCTTGATAGTCTTTCATTGCATTCTGTTGTTGACCCATGAACTCATGAATCACACCACGATTTGTTAAGAATTCTGCTGTAGTATTGATCTGCAATATAATAGTGTGAGTCTTTAGCATCTGGGAATAGTACTTATCTTTGATTTCATGTCTGCAAAAATGATCATTACGAAATCTACCTTGTGGGAAAACAGTAATTTTATAGTGCAAGTACAATGCCATTAGAGCAAATATTTTGAGGAAGGACTCTGTATAAAGTTTGTTTTATGTCAACATTTTGTTGATTTGGTTGCAATAAGACAAATAATCTTAGTACTTTACTCAGTTCCTTTTCAATAAATAGACACAAGGGGAAAACAATAGCTTGTCTGTTAAGCTATTTTAAGCTAGAGAAGAAATTAAATTGAATGCTTAGCAAGCTAATTTGTCGTATGTAGTAGCAATTATATTTCAGTTCTTTTTTTCATCTCAAATATTACAGTACCTACCCAAATCTACTGAAACAAAACACATAATCCAATTTCTAGAAGAAAAGAGGAAGATTTCCTAACACTGTATTAAAACTTGAGATTTTTATTTGCCATTTCACTATAGGAAGAATCTAGAGATATATATGATTCTTTAGTTCTTTCACACCTACAGCATTATTCTATGTTTTACATTCATTTTGTACTGTTGTTGTTGTTGTTGTTAAGTGCCGTCGAGTCGTTTCCGACTCATAGCGACCCCATGCACAGCAGAACGAAACACTGCCTGATCCCGCGCCAGCCCCACAATCCATGCTATACTCGAGCCCATCATCGCAGCCACTGTATCAATCCATCTCCCTGAAGGCCTCCCCCTCTTTCGTCGACCCTC